TAGGACAACTTGGCGCGAGACATTTTGGCGCAAAGCCAACTTGGCGCAGGGACACTTTGGCGCAAGCCATCTTGGCGCGGGACATCTTGGCGCGGGACATCTTGGCGCGAATGAACTCGCACCAAGAAAAATAGATACAAATATACAAAAATTGCACCCGTTGTTAGCATACCCTAATTTTTTTGTGCGAATGAAACTGTGTATTTGGTTGCCTACACTTAGCACAAATAACAGGGTGCTAACCACAGTACGAACAATATATATATTTTTTATATTATATACCGACGTATTCGAGCCAAGATGGTTCGCGCCAAAGTGTCCCTTCGCCAAGTTGGCTTTGGCATTCCGCAAATTTATATGTATATATGTTACAGTCAAAGTGTTCATTCCGTCAATGTATACACTGACTAGCCAATGTATGCATTGACTGATTTGCTTAGTAAATGTGTTCACAATGGACGAATTTTTTTGCACAATAAAGGAGTGGATAACCCCACTTGATAAATTTTCAGAGGTAATTTTCCCCTTTAAAAGTGTTCATGAGCACCTAGAATTTCTTACTTTAGTATTCTCTACGATATATACTTGTACAAATCTCGACCCAGGTTGAGGTTACATTATCACAAATTTTAATCACATCACTAAAAAAAAAACTAGAATTAAATCAAATATTTTTTCAATAATTTTTTTTCAAAAACTATACTGCCTCTTCTGAGTACCTGAGGTGGAGGTAGTTTCATTATATATTCATTTTCTTGGATCTTCCTCTGATCTTTAATATCCGGAAACATAAAAGCATCCGGAATTTTTGGATTCCTTTTCAAAAAATCACAAAAAATAGGGTTAAGTGATAACACTTTACCAATGTAACATTTTTTGTTTGTTGGCTATCATTTTTCTTACTTCCGGGCTACACATGTTTTCTGCCGCTGTATAGTTCATTTTGTCTTCTGCTTTCAAATCCGTTATTGTTAGCATATGTTGATCTTTGGTGTAATTTTTTACTAATATTTCAAGGTGAGCAACTGTAGCAACGTAATTTCCTAGAGGTAATATTGAGTCTGATTTAAAAAGCTTTGTTCTTAACTTTGTGATAATATGTACAGTGTCTTGGACATACGATGTCAGATCGCTGTCACTGAAACCCATTTGGTACCATTCCCAATTATTCAAATGATTTTCGTCGGATGAAATAGATAGGCGAGAATTTCAACGCATCGCTTTGAGAAGTCGCGTTTTCTTGTTGATTTCTCGTTAATTTCTCATTGATTTCCTCTTGATTTCTCGTTGATTTCCTCTTGATTTCCTGTTGATTTCCTTTGATTTCCTGTGATTTCCTTTGATTTCCTCTGATTCCCTTTTTGATTTCCTGTGATTTCCTTTGATTTCCTCTAGCGTGTACAATTGATTTCCTCTGCGGTTTACCCCTCGTGTCAATCAGAGAACAGAAGGATTGTTATTATGGACAAAGGCAGTAAGAGGGACGCAATATTGGGATAAACTACAGAGTTATCCTATATTTCGGGACAGAATTATTAGAAATATTAGGCATAGCGAAGATAAATGAGAAGAGAAGAAAAATAATGCTCTAGGAGTAATCCATACATATTTGAGATAGCCCGGAGGCATTCATATCTGCAGTATTTTTTACATATACCTATTTACGAAGGTTGTCAAAGGCATTTTTAATTTTACGTTAAGTTTTTCTACAACTATTTTTTATACTCGAATTTCCATGAGAGGATACAATCAACATCAGCAGTGAACTTGTGAAGTAAAGAAATAGTGTCTTTCTCTCCAACGGCTTTCTCCATCAGTTATACAGTGTGGTCATAGCTAAGAGGATATTGTTCGGTATTACTAAGCAGATCGAGCAAATTCAATGTAGGCGTTAAACTCTCAATAGAATCTGAATAATACATTATTTTGGAGTGTCGACTGGAGCTAGGATTATAGGAGGATGACAGATCGAGGGGAGCAGACAGTTGTACATCAGTCTTTTGCCTTTTGCCTGCAATGTCATCCGGATTAATCGGTTCATGATCTTAGTCGGAAGCATTCGTAGTTTGTGCAGTTTAACATTATGTTGGGGGGAGGTAACACTACAGGGACAACCGTTAGCAAAATGTCCTCTAATTTTACATTTAAAACAGACGTCAAAATTTCAAAATATCCGGTAATTTGTAACTTCATATTTTAATACAAGAACTGATGGGAGGTGAATTTCGTCATTTGATTGAACGTAAATTTGTCTAAGAGAACTTAATACGTGTTGGTACTCGTTGTAGCTGCGCTCAAAAAGGACATAGTTGAAATCGTTATAAATCCTAACGTTTTAATGCTGTTTTCAAAAATATCATGGGGTATGGAAAGGCAAACATTAGAAAAAATAATTCGGCGCGCCGGATTAAGCAAACGTCGAATTTTAATTTCCTTCTCTTTAACGTTAATTACAGCCAATTACAGCGCATTAGGATACAATCTCATCAACTAAAACTTTGCTACTTAAATAGATGTAGATACGATTGTTGGATAAAAATTAATCAAAGCATTAAAATTATTAATTAAGTAAGCCGCAATCGAACAAAATGTTCTGAATATTATTATTATTATAATTTTTATTGAATCATTATTTTAAATAAAGACGTGGGTATTTTAATCTTCTAGAAAATGAAGTGACCCGTTCTTAATTTAATTAAAAAATGAGAGGGTAATTAATTTTATTAAATTCATTTTGTCTAATGGAAAAAATATATCTCACCCGCTGGTTTTATAATTATTATAATTCTGTGTAAAAAAAATACATTGATTTATGAGTATACATAAAAATTATGTTTGAATGATATGATTTAATTTAAGCGAACAATTTTTACGTGGTAGCACAGAACAGCTGACATATGTATTTAAATTTAGTGCCTAAAATTTATTTTATATCAGTTTTACATTCGCAAGAGAATCGTTTCTTCAGAGGTGTGTGCAAATTAAAACGAATTATTAGTACACTGACTATCACAACCAATTACTATAAAATAATTAAAATATTTTAATTGGACGAACGACCTCGTATGAAAATATAAATTATTATTTTGCTCTTATCAATAATCATTTTTGGTTCAAATGGTGACAGTATCGTATTCGATTCTAAGTTATGTAATTTAATTTAGTGTATACAGTCGGCTCGTAAAGTCAGTCCCCACTTGTATGTACCTTAACTGCTGCAGGTTCATTATTTTTGACGCTTGAAATGTCAAAAGTATGGCATCATATTAAAAAAAATTAAATGGGATATAGAGAATCGAATGATCCTTCTTTTAAGGGCTTATTTGATTCTACACATAATACCAAAGTTTAAAATAAGGGTGTCTAATTAATATACCAATTATTTTGTGTAGCATTAACCAAAACTATTTATTTTCTTTTTTATTATTACTATGCTCATCAGATGAAACAAAATATTGCACCTAAAACTATTACTGCTTGTACCCAAGAAAAGATTGTTCTCTTTGGTAAAGCATTTATCAAAATGAGTTTTTTTGTTTAGTTTTAAAACTAACATTGTTTTAGAATTTGTTATTTGTGTATCTAGATTATTCCAAATTTGAAACAAACGATCGGTTAGAAATTGCTGTCGCCAATTGGTTTTATATTTTTCATGAAGGAGTTTTTTTTTTTTTAGAGTGGTCTCGAAGGTGGAATAGATCAGCAGGAACAAAGATGGTGGAAAAATCAACGGTAAACTTAGGATCCTCGTAAGCTTTGTTTTCTAAATTTTCAACAGTTTTAGAATAGAGACAGATAACTGTACTTTTTAATTATGTAGCTGTTTGTCCTTTATGAAAGTAGGATGATACGGCGAGCATATGACACCAAAGGGGTTTTAAATCAATCTTCATTTGGATTCACAAATGTGTTTTGTGGCAAGTGGTAGATTTTTTTCACTGTGTGACGATAATACCCAAGTTGTTGATTTGATGAACAGTCTGCAGTGTATTATTGTCAGTAGAATATATAGTGGTGGAGTTGTTTTTGCCCAAACGAAACACATAACAGTTGTGAATGTTTAGAGAGTGCGAGTCCAACTGTGAGCTACTGAAAGATTATCTTGAATAATTGAGAACATGTGTTATCATACAAATTGCCAACGTCGGTTTAAAAAACACAGAAGACTAATACCAATAGTAGATCTGACATATAAATGTTGTACTTATTTAATTGATGATATCGTATGAATGTTTCTAAAATATCATGATCTGGTATGCCTGTAGACAAGCATTAATTTCACCAAGAAGATTAGAATCGCTTAAAACCAAATCAAGTGAACATGCCTAATCAGCACGGAAACGAGTGAGTGAAGTAACCATTTGTATGAGATTTGTTTCCAGAAGCATATCCGCTATTAAAAAGACAGCATTATTTTTATTATCATCATCTAATAACTGCATGTTTGGCCTTGAGATTTTAGGAAAGTTGAAATCTTCAAGTATTAGTAAATTGATTGATCATCCACAACGAGGTTATCAATAGATCAGTAACCGCACAACACTGAAACCCATAAGAACAATATCCGACATGGATACTAAGCGGCTTAATTTTGGTAAAATTTTTACCATAACACTTTGCGGTAAATTCTTTGAAGATTAAACTTTTTAAGAATATGCAAATTCCTCCTCCTCGTGAAGGCGATAGCTTAGGTATAGAGTTCTAGTTGATGTAGAACAACAGGTGATACTGATAACCAAGATTTGCTTAATACCACGATTTTTTTAAACTTTGGCATCATGTGCAGAATATCAGTTCAAGATCAGAGTGTCACTACGATGACGATTAGCATCATTTGACTACTCATTCACACGTTTTAAATTTAATTTAAAATTAAAGCCCGCAGCGGTCGAAAGTCACATGGGGAGAGGGGCTGACTTTACGAGCGCACTGTAAATTTTCATATCCAAATGCAGACTATTACTTTCCTGATAATAACTTAGTGGCTTTTAATACGTTAGTAGAGGTAGTTATTTGTTAGAAAGTTTTAATATCTTCTAAGTACTGAAGAATACCTAATCTCGACAATAATATTCTTGATGACGTCGGTCGTTTTACAATAATTATGTACATTCATTTACCTGCTACATTTTTGGTTTAGTACAAAGTTGTACATAGGTAACTATTACTGAAGGTCTTATGTAAAAATTAGACATTGATAAAAACTCAAAGAGAACGAGCAGTGCCAATACAGAAACGTTTTACCAACTTTTGTTAGTGTTTTAAAAATGAATGGCGAAAAGGTGGAAGAAAGGCGAAGTAATCCCAGGCAAAGTGCAAGTCTAATTTCTAGGATAACTTTTTGGTATTTAATTATTTAAAGGAATTCAATTCTTCCATAGTATTATTTAAGGTACACTTACGACTTGTTTAAAATAGGATATAAACGAGAGCTCGAAGAAAAGGATTTGTATGAAGTGCTTCCTCAATTCAACACGTCTGAACTTGGGGACCACATGGAACGGGAGTGGAATCAAAGTAAAGAACATAAGAATGCTATGTTTTTAGTTTTGTGGAAAATGTATGGCAAGTATTACTGCACACTTAGTGTAACGATGCTCTTTACAATTGTACTTAAGTAAGTTTATCTTCATAAATCAAAAAACGAATTTAGTTCCTGCTTTTAGCGTTGTCCGCCCCATAATCTTTGGCAAATTGGTTTTCTTTTTCACTCCTGGACAACAAAGTCTAACTAAAGCGGATGCTTTGCTTTACACTGCAATTTTGCTTGTACTTCAACTAGTTGATATCATTTGTAGGCAAAATTACCTTTTCTTAACGGAAAATTTAATCATCAAGATTCGCACTGCGTTTTGTTCATTAATTTATCGGAAATTTCTTAAACTTCCAGTAAGTTGTTTACGCCACGTTAGCTATGGCAATGTTGCCAATTTGATAACAAGAGACATCGGTGCATTTGATCAGTTCTTCCTTCACTTCACTTACGCTTGGTCTGGAATCATCTTTCTTCTAATTTCATGTTACAATATTATTGTAACGTATTGGTTGGCCAGCTGCCGTGGCAATTCTTGCATTTGCTGTATTCATTCCTCTTCAGGGTACGTACGATTTAATGTAGTACATAAATAAAATACTTTTTTTTGTGTGACATGGTGATTCACATTTTGTTCAAGGTTTAAACTTAACGGTTAACATGCATGCTATTTTGCGTACATAATTTATTAGATATCCTAATTTTCTACTGTTACACAAAACATTTAAAAATGGGTTTAAAGTGAACCAATGAAATCGAAATGGTGCAGAAATATATTTTTACTTCCTGAGCGTAAGCTACGGAAGTGTTATAATGGAATCCACTGGGCGACTGGCTGCTTTCATATTTTCTCGATGGGTCATGACCTCTAAAGTACGAAAAAAATGAATGAGTCTCCCGTTTCAGCCTGTCTGTCTGTCTATCTGTCCGCCGTCCATGACGATTTTTGTAAGGCAGTTAGTTAATCGCTAAAACTTTTTCGCCGATTTTCGTCCAATTTTAAATATGTATTACGAATATCATGTATATGGTAAAACACGAACCAAACTTTGTATAATCTTTCCCTCCAACAATGTGATAACGTCACCTCACAATTGTTTAGTGACAATGTTCCTTTTGTATACAATAAAATTTCATACGCAACATAAATTACAATTTTGAAACCAAACAAGTAGAAAGCCAGTAATCCGAGCGGTTCGTAACTACCCTTCTTCTGGTTGAACAAGAGCGACGCATGTCAAGCCGGTGAGACACTCAGTGGATGAACAGCTTAGCCAACCCCTCGTTATGATATGTAAAATTGTATTGTATACAAATGGAACGTTTTTAGTATACATAGTAAATGGGTTTTAAATTGTATCAAATAACGTAGTCCTACACCTGAGGTTTATTAATCCGTGTTGAGTTTTTACCCGAAAAGTCTAAATTTTTGGAAAAAAATCGAAATTCTATAACATCTTGTAGTTTAATTTTGAATCTGCATAACTGAATGCTTTAAAATCTTACAGATGTGTTAAAATTATCACGGGCAAGATATAAAATATGATGAGTCTGTACTTGTGATTTATCACTGTAATCATAATTTTTAGATTTGCTTATACAGGATGACTCAAAAATATTGTAGTATTATTACTAATTACTCAATGTTTGATTTTTTACTTCAAAAAATGACAAATTATAAAAAATCACAGTCAAGTGAATTGCTGTATTTTTTTTTAATTTGACAACAATTTTGGCATCACGTGTTTCTGACAACCAGTCATATAACCTAAAATATTTTAAAGTTGAAACTGTCATTTCGTGTCCACACTCTTTTAAACACAACACAATATTCTGTCAAGGCACTTTAGGTCGACATTAAGCCGTCACTTTTTATATATTATTGATCATAGATAAAATAGCTCCAAAATGTAGAACAGGGAACTGGAAATTGAGGAAAAGTTAAACAAATGTGCTAGTAGTGAAAAATAAAAACACAAACCACTGTAGAGAAAATTTTTCGAGCCCGACCTGCGATTCAAATGATCGAGGGAAATTTGAAAGCGGGGTTCAGAAAAGTGTTTTCTATCTCTTCGTCTAGAATACTGTATAATAGGTAAAGTATTAATGAAAATACGCTACGAAAAATCCCTCGACAATCAAAGAACATTAAACTAAATAAATGCTGGAAAACGCAAAAAATAACTTATTATTTTAGAACGCCCAGATATTGTGCAGTAATTTTAATTAAAGTTTTTTAAGAGATTATCATGATAGCACACAAGTCATCTTTTCAATTTGTTATTGACAATATTTTATATTTTGGTCTGGTGTCACATTAATTTGTTTCGTTTACAGTTCTTGCAGGAATATGGATCGCTTCACTCAAGAGAGAAACATCTCAGAAAACAGATAAAAGACTTCAAAAATTTAAGGAAGTTTGTTCAAACATTAGAAGCACAAAAATGTATGTTTGGGAAAAGTACGTGGAGAACAAAATATCTTTGGCTAGAAAGTAAGAGTTCTTTTTGAAAAAGCGACAAATTGAGCATGAAGTTTTTAGGGAAGAAATGACTATTTTATTTAAAATTTTTCTTTTGTTATTTCTGTCTATTGCAACGGGAATCATAGTTATCAACGTAACATATTATTTTGTTGTAATGATTAATATTTGGATGGATCAAATTCTAACGGCGGAAGTCATGTACTTCATCAATGGTATAGTAGCCTGCATAGATATTGTAGCCGTCCATAGAGTCGAGATTTGCGAATAAAAATAAAATAAAACCGGCTCAAACGAAGCCGACGACGGCTTGCAAATTCTGTCACTACGGCACGCGTCATATCACACAGGGGTGTATTTAAGGCTGTTTGCACAAAATCTTAGGGTCACTGTAATCTTACTATATTCTATCTACGACAAAGGATTTGTCACACAGCTACGAAACCGATGATCTAGAGAAAGATGGAAGTTTGAAAATTTATTTCAACAAGTGTAATAACCGTTTGGTGCAACACAATTGGTTCAAGCAAACTAAAATATGACAGGAAACAAACAGTCCACGTGGACTAGTTTATAGTCGTGTTTGCTGCTAAGATGACTAGGTTTTTCGCTCCACCTGCCTCCGCAACGATGAATATACCATAACAAGTTGTGGTATGGTACAGTGAACAGAGCTTCGATTTTATTGACGAGATTCAGCTCAGAAATTAAGCAGATTATATCATGACGGAAGAAATGACATTTAATATTAAATACGTCTCTGTGCAACGTGTGCCAGAGTGATGTCAGACTTTGCAAGCCACCGTCGGCTCCGTTTGAACCGGTTTTATTTTATTTTTATTCGCAAATTTCGACTCTATGGACGGCTACAATATCTATGCAGGCTACTATACCTTCTTGACACTCACTTTGACCATAACAATCGTATTTCCCTTCGCAACATTTAGTTTATCCCAAGTAATTATTGCCATTAAAAGAATGCAAACTTTAGTTCATACATTAGAAACACATAGCAAAAGAACGCGTCGTACAGTTAAAACAGAAACACCAGAAGTCGAATTTTCAAATGTGACAGTTATAATCGACGATAAAACAATTTTCGAAAATGTTAGCCTTCATGTTTTTTCAGGACTAACTCTAATAACCGGACCTACCGGTAGCGGTAAAAGCGTATTTCTTTTGACAATGTTGAAAGAGTTTGAAATATCCGATGGTAAATTATTTGTCGACGGGAGATTGTCTTACGCATCGCAGGAACCTTGGTTATTTCCTGCCAGTATCAAACAAAATATACTTGTCGGAAACAACTATAATCATAAACGCTATCAAGAAGTTTTGCATGTTTGTGATTTAAATTATGATTTAGATTTACTAGAAAATGGTGATTCTACTATAGTAGTCGATGGTGGAGTTAATTTGAGCAAAGGTCAACGCAGTAGGATTAATTTAGCAAGGGCTATATATCAAAACAGCGATATTTATTTAATAGACGACTGTCTGTCGAGTTTGGATCCTTTAGTATCCAACCATATTATTAAAAATTGTATTTTAAAACTTTTGCGTGACAAATTAGTTTTTCTCGTGAGCCATCATTCGGATTTAAAACATCATGCTGCAAACATTCTAAACCTTCGTAACGGAAATGTTAACACACGGAAAAATTATTTATCGAATGATGTAGAAAATGACAATCCATATATCATTCCACGTATTCCCAATACTTTAGTAAAAGCTGACATAACTACGTCCATTGATTTTGAAACAGAGAAATTGAACGAAACCACAAAAACGAATAAAATTTATGCAGAAATAAACAAATCGGGTTCGGTCCCTTTAAAGGTTTACACGGAATATATACGCATGGGAGGTGGAAAAGCTACTTTTTTAGGAGTTTTTTGTATTTTTATTGTAACTCAATTATTAGTAAGTTACAAAGATAAATTAATAAGTAACTGGTAAGTATAATGCAAAGGAGTAGTCTTCAAAACAGTATCTTTGTTTTTATTTTAGGGTAAACTTGGAAGACAAAATTTCTCGAAATAATCATACTATTGGCAACGTATCATACCTACATCTTGTAGAAGACCGTAACCAACTTTTGCGTCACTACACCGGTGCTGTTGTCGGACTGTCTGTCGCTACATTAATCAGAGGGTGGGCACTGTTTCAATTTTCAAAAAGAATATCAGTGAGCTTACACAAAAGAATGTTGAACTGTGTTATTGGTGCTTCTCTTCAATTTTTTGACACAACGTTTTTAGGAAATATTGTGAATAGATTTTCGAAAGACCTTGATAGTGTCGATGAAAATATCCCATTCCCTCTAAACAATTTGATATCTGTAATATTTAGGTAGGGCACTTCATGCATTTATCGATTTGAAATTATTTTAGATCGTCTTTGAAACTATTGGAAGTATTATACTCATTTCCTCGACCAACATAAGACTACTTTTACCCATCGCTTTACTTTTTGTGAGCCTAATATTTTTGCGATGTGTTTACATAAAATCAGGAAGACCACTGAAAAGGCTAGATGTCTCAAGTAAACTAAGAGTTTTTTATTGAATTCAAATTTATCTTTAATTTTTAGCTAAGAGTCCTGTGCTTGGATATTTAAACGCCACATTAGAAGGAGTGCCAACTATAAAGGCTTTCGGTGCAGAAAAAATTGTCACGAAGGAATTTGAGACACACCACAACCTTTTTAATTCGGCGTCGTATTCATACACTGCCACTTTGAAAGCTTTTGTGTTTGTGGCAGACGTGTTTGCATCCTTCTTCGTCGCTGTGGTTATTTTGCAATTTGTTATTTTTGACAGAGGTATTTTCTTTTTCTCTATAACACCGATCTTAAGCAAAAATTACAGACGTGCTACCTGGAAACTTTGGATTGGCAATTTCACAGTCTTACGCAATTTATAATGTAATTTTCTACGGAATGCAGAAGTGGGTCGATTTAGAAACACAAATGACTTCAGCGGAACGTGCAATGGAATATACAACCATACAGAAAGAGTCTGAATCTGGATTAGAAATCGAGAATTGGCCAAATCTAGGTGAAATTAAGTATGAAAATGTGTGCCTCTCTGTGAATGAGTCTGGCTCATACATATTAAAAAATATAAATTTTCATATTAAACCTAACGGAAAACTGGGAATTGTGGGGCGTACATGGGCTGGTAAATCGTCAGTTATATCAGCGCTTTTTCGTTTGTACGAAATTAAAGGAAGAATCACATTAGACGGAGTCGATATTAAAACGCTGTCATTACATTTTCTTAGATCGAATATTTCTGTAATTCCCCAAGATCCCCTCTTGCTTAGCGAAACACTACGGGATAACATAGATCCAGAGCAAGTACACACAGACGAAGAAATCTGGAATGCTTTACGTACTGTGGGAATGAACAAAATTATTTCAACGTTAAATGCTAACATTAAGAAATTTGAGTTTAGTTGCAGTCAGAATAGATTACTGTGTTTAGCTAGGGTGTTAATAAAAAAGAAGAAAATATTAGCTGTCGACGAAATAGTCGAACACGTGGACACTAAGACAGAAAACTTAATTTATAATATTATCAATGAACACTTTAAATTTTGTACTGTTATTAAAATAGCACACAGATTAAAATTTGTTCTTGATTGCGACAAAGTGTTAGTGCTGGATAACGGCAGCGTTGTTGAATATGATAGTCCAGAAACTTTGCTGAAAAATCAAAATGGTTTGTTTTATAAGATGTATAATGTTCTACTTTAAGAAATAAATGTGTTTGTCATCTTACTTAACTATTCTAACTTCTATAAAAATAACACGTTGAAAATATCAGTTGTACAACAACAACGCCCTGCATAATAATAAATCAGTATTATTCTGAAATATCTTTTATTAAAGAGACAAACTTTTAACGATAAGCAGAAAATTCATTGCACTGAAAGAACTTCATCTAAGACACTAAAATATAACAATTTACTGTTTAATTTGAAATGTGCGGTTTTGCCAATTTCCCTAAAAATAGATATCAACTGCTGCTATGGACGTTGGAATATCAACTGAAATGTCTTCTGTTAGTGTTACTTGATTGTCCAAAGCAGAGTATGAGTATTTTCCATGCCGGCAACTAGACGAGCGTTTTTCCGTTTAGAACATTCGATGTCATCCACATATGATTGCGCCTACCACCGTGGATTGCACCAATGCATTCATTTGTCTTCTTTAACTATCATGAAACTTCTTTGTTGACCATTTTTGGATGAATGAATGTTGACGATTCTTCTACGTCTCGAACATCAATAAATCGCTTCTACATGCTCCGACTGCACCCATGGATATAGCAACTTTAACCATCAAATACGTTTCATCTGATTCACAAAGAAATTTTAACACCTGTTGACGAGTAAGGAGCTTCGACTTCTTTGGTTGGTACCCTCTTCCAAGTTGCTTCAAATACTGCTGCAAGTGTACAAATTTCTTGGTACTCTTTATCATCTTCTTTACCTCGAGCTCTTCCCGAAGCATTGAAAACTTTGTCCACAGTAAATTAGGAGCAAAAGATTTTGATAGTTCGTGAAAGAAGTCCAAAATTACGGCTTCATTTACTGCATGAATACAATTCAAGTCACTTTAAAATACTTACAATAAAAAAAGTGGAACAAAATATTATTCTTTATCTTTTCTTTGCAACGATGACATAAAACGTAGACTGCATCTCTGGCTTGGGGCTTGGATTGGGTTTAATGCTTTCGGTCGATGTGCAGCCCTGCAGCCGGAAGCCCTTGAGCTGCAGATATTCGAGATCAGGCATTAAGGCCCTAATAACGCCCTTGGTACATTAATAACTATAAAGCTGAGAACCAACGAGAAAAAGTCTGTTATCATCAATGTATATTTTTAACTTACTTTTGCGTCCTTCGCTTATAATTATGTCCAACATTTTTTAAATAAAAAAGCCAAAATTGCCATATTTGAACTCCACATTTACTGACTATTATTTTTAATATATTTTTTTAAACAGAAAAATGTATTTTTTATTGAAGAATTACTGCTATTATAATAAACTTAAATACTTTAATAAATGAAATAATCTAAATACTTCGTAAAAATTTTGAAATGTAACTTCAGTATTTCTCCTTCCCGTCTTTCCACAAAATGTTTCACTTCACAAATCACTGTCAGTTTTAATATTTTCGTTTCGAATAGGACAAATATCAATATTTTCGGTATTTGGAATTAACCACCTACTACAAGCACATTTTTGTGCACCACCTTGTGTTGTTACTCTATTCTTCCAGTAGTGTCACCAACATTGTCCCTTTCTTCTTTAAAATAATGCACTAAACATTGAGAATCTTCTCTCGCGCGTCAAGCTAATTCATATGACACAATGTGGTAAAATTGTCTTTGCAATCCACATGGTTCATTACAGCATTCTATAATCTCCACGATTTCATATTTAGATAAAGTTGCAGGACGTTGTTTTCTTTTTTTGGCTTCCTTTTGTAATATTTTGCGCTTTCTATTTCCAACATCTCGCGAGGGTTTATTCCACATCTTTAAAGGGGTCTATGACTCTGTTAAATTCGTTATAATATAAATCTTGAACTATAGTCCAATTTTGTGGTAGGAGTAATTTCGTCACAAACTAATTGGAATTGCTTCCAAATAGAATTTGCTACTAACTGAAGTGTTTTTACTTGCACTTGCTGTAATTTCTTTACTAATTTGTTCACAGATAATAATGAATTTATTGATCCAACGAACAAGATTCATTGTGGATACATGAGTATTACAAACATATCAAAAGTAATTTATGCTTAATTTTAACAAACTCACGATAGAACAAATCCAATTCATCACAGTTATGCTGGCGTACTAGTGTATTATACAAGGTGAAATAAGATAAGAGCGGGCTATTAGCATGGTGGATCGAATTTGGTAAATTATAATCAAACGTAACAATATTTCTAGTTCCTACTCGTGGAACATAGTATTTTACTAATTATAAAAGAAACAAACTTTTAATACGACCATTAATTATGTTTTGTAAAAATATCAATCGAGCCGTTTTTCTCCTAGCTTCAAGCGACGTCTCATGTAGAAGTACCAACAATTCGTTTTGGTCACCAGTGTCGTACCGGGTAAATACCATACATTTTAAAATGCAGAAATTTACAAAATATCCATGAAACTTGTTCTAAAAGTAATTTATACGGATTCCACAGAACAGAACAATATTCAAGTCTAGACCTAACAAGCGAGTAGAAAAGTATTTTAATACTAATAATAAATAAAAGGTTTACATTGCAATACTTTTGTAATAATTCTGATACAAAGTGCGTAAATTCACATAGATTAGTAAGAGTGGAGCGCCCTTTCACAAACCCGTGTTGTTCTATGGCAATATATTTTTCAACATGTGAATATACTATGTTCGATAAGATGGATTCAAACAGTTTGGCAAAGTTGGAAAGTTTTATTGTGTCCTTTCTTAAATACAAAACACACACGTGACTTTTTCCAGTTACAAACATATGATGTAACGGCTCAAGCCGGCAACTTAGGCAATCCTTAACTAAAAATGAACGGATATTGTCTGGTCCTGATGTACTGTTGTTTTTCAGCTTCTTAGCAGCTTTCCCGATGTCATCTTTGTTTATTTCAAAGAGAGATAACGTGTCACAATTGCTTGAAACATCACAGTCATAATCACAGAACAGGGAAACACAACACTTTTTATTGCAAAAGTCACAGCCGCCTGTATCACAGATGCAGTTATTATCACAGGCATGGGTTATCACGAAAAGTTTTGTATACGTTGGCGAATTCAATAGCAAACACGTTAACAATGTCTTAGGGTTCCTCCAACAGTCATGCTGCCTGGGGTTCGGTCACAGTGACGTTTCATATTAACGTACGACCAGAAGTCAGTCGAGTCCCTCTTGACACACTCCTCTACTCGATGAATGAAATTATCGTGTGCAATCTTTATATTCCGCCTTAAATTCTGTCTTAGTTGTTTCGTTTTGTCGAGATCATATTGTAATTTTGGCTTCCTATATCGATTGCAATGTTTATTCTTTAATTTTATTTGTGATAGATATAAGAAATAAGTCTTGTAAATTTTTATACAAGTAATCACAGTCAAATCAACATCTTCAAAATTATTAAAATTTACCAGTCTACGTTAGAAATTGCAGCATACAATTCTTTAAAATCAGCTTTCGTAGAATCAAATTTTGCATTAGGTACATTTATTATCCTTAAAGGGAGTATTTGGCAATTCATTTATTTATACAAGAGCAGACAACGAGAGACATGGATGGTGTAAATCTGTTTGGAAAAGTGGTTCATTACAATTTTCAACATGAATTCCTACGTTTTCAGCATTAATATCCCTAATATTCTTATGTTGAAGTAGGTTATTTAATGTTAAAAAGTTGTCATAAGCATGATCCAACTGCGTTTTTTTAAGTCCTTCAATACAATCACCAAGCTCAGTTATGTTAAAATCACCTGTTATGATAATTGGTAGATGAAAGTTGAACGAGGTATCCAGAAATTCAAACAAATGAGTATACAATGGTAATGGTACAGAGGGTGGAATATATACACTGACTATAGACAATGATTTTCTATGCAATGTAATTTGAATAGAAACTGTATCAATCTCAGGTACTGGTGACTGACATGAGATTTGTTGCACCATAAAGGAATCTGTCGTGCCCAAATAGTTTTGACCGCGGCCGAGCTTTTGGACACTAACAAAATTATTTATTTGGGTGTAGGCCCATTTCCTTGGAAATGGAAGAGCTAAACATGTTTCCCTGTTCTGTGATTATGACTGTGTTGTTTCAAGCAACTGTAACACGTTATCTCTCTTTGAAATAAATAAAGATGACATCGAGAAAGCTGCTAAGAAGCTGAAGAACAACAATACATCAGGACCAGACAATATCCCTTCATTTTTAGTTAAGGATTGCCTAAGTTGCCGGCTTGAGCCGTTACATCATATATTTGTAACTGGAAAAAGTCACGTGTGTGTTTTGTATTTAAGAAAGGAAACAATAGCATTACTTTCCAACTTTGCCAAACTGTTTGAATCCATCTTATCGAACATAGTATATTCATGCATGTAGGGGAAGAGGTAATAACTAAACATTTCTAACATTTTTATACATATATTGAAAGAAAGAATTATAAGCATATCAAAAGAATAATCGAAAAAAATAAAACATAAAAAATAAATTTACACACCTAACACAAAAAAAAACAACATGCAAAACTACTATCTAAAGCGCTACGCAATTGTATTCCACTAAAAAAACCCTTAAGATCTATGAATATAACCCACGTTTTTAATTACATTTAATCCTAGAAAAAATCAGCATGCAAAACTTAAAATTAATTCGATTATTCCTTAATTAAGTGCGATACCTTCTAAACAATATTAATATTACGAGCGTGATAAATAAACTTAAAAAAACTACTAACTATGAAATCGAGTAATTACTTAAATATTTAATAAATTGCGATTGGGCATTTATATATTAATTATAGCTATTAAGACAACTAGTGTTTTATAGACAGTTTAAAAATCAAGATCGTAGTTAAAATCCGAGCGACCGAAGGGAGCGAGGATTTTATAGAGGGAGATTTTTAAACTATAAAACACGTGTTGGCTTCAAGATTTTTTCAAACACTAACAGTAATTCATCAACTCCTTTTTGATCAATTCATTACTACAAATTTTGACAAATCAT